TGTGATATTGTTGTTCATGATGAAATTTTCTTTTATTGTTGTAATTAATTTATAGCATTAACAAGATGACCCGTTGAATTCATTTTGGGAGCGATGACTGATTGAATGTATTTTTAGTCCAGTGCCTGTATATAAGATTAGTATTGACCAAGTTCAGAGGCTGTCATATGTGGATCAACTTACTTTGTTGTGAATTTTCAACAGTTTCAATATGAAAAATAACTTTTATATTGATTGAATGGATTTATTGCATTTTGGAAAAAAAACAAAAAAGAAAAAAAAAAATGTGTCATGGATTTATTGCATTTTGGGGAAAAAATAATAACATTTTATAATAAATCTTTGAAAATCAAAATCTGGATTTGAATTTTTTTATGTTATTATAACCTAAAGATGCTATGTGAAAGTTTGAAACAGAAAATAGTGGTTTTCATCTTGCCACTTTCTTGGTAAAGAAAACACATTTTTAATCAAAATGGATTTATAGCGTTTTGGAACCAAACTCTTCATATATATATACTGTATACAGCGGGTAAAATAAGTATTGAACACGTCACCATTTTTCCCAGTAAATACATTTCTAAAGGTGCTGTTGACTTGAAATTTTCACCAGATGTCGGTAACAACCCACATAATCCATACATACAAATAAAACAAAACAAATAAGTTCGGAAATTAAGTTATGTGTAATAAAATGGAATGACACAGGATGAACAACTGAACAAATGAAGATTATTTATATAAACATAATTTTTTGTTGATATTAATAATGAAGAAAACTTCTTCCAAGTGGTGAATGCCATTGTTTTTGTTTCACTGTGTCCATGTTTTTGAAATGTTTATTTCAGAAGCAGCTTGTTTATTTTTAGCTTTTGCGACTTCCTTGCTTATCAGACTGTAACATCATGTACATATCCGCATGTCCTCAAATGTCTTGCGCACCAGCCAAAATTCCTCCTTTATCCTGCACACTAGCTACAGCGTACTGACTTGAGCGCATTCACAGGCCGATGAGAGATAAAGTAAAGTGATATCCAAACTTTGAAATCATGATGGTCAGTGCATGTCCAAAAATGGGTAACAGTGTCTTTGGGTTACAGCTCTCTCTCCGAACCCAACGCCATGCACCTCCCCCCGACCATCCAGAAGCAGTTCTCTCTCCGCACCCTCACAGCTAGGTACCATGCTGTGCTTTCAGTCACGTTTGCCCACAGAGATGCCAGCCATGGTTGGTCTAAGCTAAGTGGTTTTGTTTCTCCACCAGGTCCTGAGGTCACCTCAACTCCTCCAGCTAGTCCCTCCATAGCTAAGGTGAGCGCCACCTATACAGATTCCCTTCTGTATAGTGTTGATGTTGTGTCCTCCTGGTGATGATAAATATTGGATTGTTTGTGTTTGTGTATGTGCTCAGCATCTGGAGGTACCATCTACCCATGACCAAGGGGACACCAGTAAACCAGAGCAGGAGGTTTGTGTAACAAATGTTATATCTTCGGCTCTTCTTGCTTGAATCTTCCTACTTCAGTCTTTCAGATATTAAAACATTAGTAAATGTGTGCGAATTTACATTAAATTGGCCATATTATTCTTTTTTTATTGTTTTATTTTTACTTTGAATCTTTGAATTATTAAGGTTTTTTGCACCAAAAACAGTCACAATGTAGTTGATCGTGGCCATTTCTGTTCTCATGTTGACATTGTTGGACCAAAATGATCAGGGCCTTCGTGAAAAAATTGAATTTTTAATTTACTTTAAAAGAATATACTTATGTGTAAACTGAATGTTTTGTACACTTAAATGTATGTTAACTGCATTAAATTAAAATGTATAATAGCTTACATTTACATTAGGTAGCAGTTAGCTGAACTATAGAGTGTTTTTTGACCCACTTAAGTCTACATGTAATTTCTTAATTACTTTTATTGTCTTTGAAATATGGTTAAAGTTTACTTCCGAATACTGACAAGCATTTAGGTGAATTAAAACACATTTAAAAGTAATTTCTGTTGAAACTCATTTGTAATATATTCTAAATTACAACATATTTTAATATATATTTGTTATTACACATATTTAATTAGTGCATTTACAATATATTAACTTCAAATCAAATTAACAAAACAGGTCAAATTATAATCAAGTACTTGTGCTTTGATATGTTAGTCAACACATCAACATAAGTATTTTAAAGTACAATAAAAGATTATTATCTTTTGCAACCATTTAAAATGTATAAACAATGTAAAATATAGTCTTATTTTAAATAATACAATTATTTGACCCCTTGATAATACTCTACAGTAAAGTTCAATGCGTTAACAGTTTTTAAATACTATTTTTTTTTTAAATTATAAATAGTAATTTTACATAAACATTTTATATACTGTATTGTTTTCTATACATACACAGTTTTATGTTTAAAGTAGAAATTTGCATAAATGTATTTTAATAAACATGATTTAACAATATATTATATTAAATAATGTATACACAATACAATATAAATAATATAAAACACGTTTTGCATTGTATTATATTAACAGTAACCTAGATAAATGTAAACTGGATTTAATGTTATAAACTGAACTGTATTGAAACATTATTCTGACCGTTTTAATGCACTTGTTCTTTCTCTTGTAGTAAATCAGCTCAAAAGGGAAATATTTATGACTAATTATTAGGGCTGCACGATTAATCGCATGCGATATTTAACGCGCATCTTGTCAGAAAACCGGTTCTGTAATCAGCGGTAAATCTCCATCACCTGCGGGCTTTCACATTGAGTAGCATTAACTACACAGAGCCGTTGTTCACTGATGAGCTGCGCAAAAATCGCACGAATATGAACGTGGTTTAGCGCAGCTCGTCCGTGAACAACGGCTCTGTGTAGTAAATGCTGCTCAATGTGAAAGCCCGCAGGTGATGGAG